AACAGTCCCCCACCAGTATCTTCAGTTTTAGGTCACATTTTTATATTACATATCCAGTGCTGTCAATACAGACACTTTTCCTGTGACCTTTCAGTTTTAGGAATATTAGAGGTTACTAGTAACTGTAGGCAATAAAGTGTTCAGAGAGATAAAAGTTCATTGTGTTCCTTTAAAATCTACAACAATTTTTCAAAAACTTTCACAGGTAGCAGTGTAGACGGAGAGGAGGAGGGGGAATAAACACAGCCAACAGGGTTCTAAACAACAACTTCTTTACGCAAATACAAGCTGCAGCCACTCCTTTAGACTATAAGATCTGTGGAAACTACAGGGTCCAAGGGACACAGATGCTTGTGTGATGAAACTTGCATTGTCAGTGGAGCAGAGGATATGGGAGTGGTCACAATAAGACAAAAGGAGATGGCGAGTAAGAACACAGAGCCATGAAGGTCCTTAAAAACAAAGAGCGGAAGCTTGAACTTGATGCAGTATAATTGGGAAGACAGTGAAGGGATTCAAAGAGGAGAGATGTGATCAGAGCAACAGACAAAGTTGACAGCAGGTATGTTACTTGCTGCTTTGACCAAACCATACCCTTTTTTTTGGATCTCTCCACTGTATCCTTCCTTCTTAATCTTCAAGGCCATTCACAATTCTGTTTCTATTCTTTGTTCATCCAGTCTTACTTCATTAACCCCCATCTCATCTGCATTGTTGATGGTAGCCTTATCTACCAGTCTGTCAGCTTCCCACAGGTGCTTCCATGTCTTCTTTTACAATTCAGGAGGATTTACATGGCATGTGCTGTGACCACTGACTATCATGCTATTCTTAAAAAGCAACAGAGGGTCCTGTGGCACCTTTGAGACTAACAGAAGTATTGGGAGCATAAGCTTTCGTGGGTAAGAACCTCACTTCTTCAGATGCAAGTCTGATGCTATTCTTAGTTGCCTCGCTGTTGCTTTGCATTTCCTTCATCATCTGTTTGAGGTACCATTTGTTTATTATCTTATAGATTGTAAGCTCTTCAAAGCATGCAGTCTTTTTGTTGCAGTTTTTACAATGCATATTTTAGTGTGGGACCAGGTACTACCACAATACAAGTAAACACAAATAACTAAACACAAAGTCACTCTTTTCCTCTTTCAAATATCTACTCAAAACACACTTCTGCTGAGATGCCTTTAAGAAGTCAGCCAATTAATGATTAGTTTGAAAAGCAGATAGGGATAGCTGGCACTTATAATTAAAAAAAATACAAGCGTGTATGCATATAAAAAATGAATCTCAACTGTTATCCTAATCCTTCTGTTCATATGCAGCTACTATATTCAGCAATAATTTTCCAGCATCTTTTCTGCCCCTCCCCCCCATTATTCACTTAACAAAACACTGGTATTATAGGTACACTGGCATTCTTAGCTGATATTTTACCAGCCATTCAAGTCTCCAAGTAATGAAACCCTTCTCTGGATCAGTTTCTTTTGTAAACACCTGACTCTTCCAGATCATTAACCATGCAGATAAACTGTTCAAGAGTACAGCACTCACAAGTTGATCAAGCACGTCATTATAGTCTTAGGAATGGTCGCTTTGTTGATTGCCAAACTGCACCGCATTTCATCTCACTGATTGGGTGATACCGATTTACTTATACATGGATCTAAACTCCAGGTAGGAAAAAAAGGTTGTGTGCTTGCTAGACCCAAACCACAGAAAATCCTGTGTCATCCAAAATTTTATTTCAAGCTTGTAAAATGAATTCTAGATTTGCAAGGAGGCTTAAGAGAACAGTTACCCTGGAGAAGGGGAGAAAGTTGCATTTTCCCCAGACACAGCTCTTGGCACTTAATCACAGGAAAAACAATTACACCTAACATTAGGGCTAGGTGTGGCAAACACCACAATAGAACTGCCTCTGAAGCAGTGGTCTCAACCCGCAGCCCGCTTGCAGCCCAATTAGCACATAGCTGCTGCCCATGTGACATCTTCAGGACCATACAGGTAGTATTGGATGCGGCCCACATAACACCTCATGGGCCACATAACAATAAGTAGGTTGAGAACCTCTGCTCTGAAGGATGATACTATATTCATTTCCCACCTCACCACTTTTATCTAAAATGGTTAAAGGGATGCTGTCAGATAGTTGAGGCCAAACATTAAGTTTTATAAAGACAAAGATTTAAATAAGAAATTGTCAGGTTTTAAATCCCTTACTAAAGACCCAGAAAAACTAAACTGAAGAAGTCTTGTTCATTCTTCACCTTTTATACGGTTTATATTTTGAATTTCACTAGCCTAGACAATGAAAATAGACTAGCACTTCACTTGTGTATAATCAGTCTAAATAGCATAACATTATTATTTGGGTTGCAAGTACTGCAGAAGAATGGTTAAAGCTAAATAAACTGTTTTCAGAAGATAATAGAAATTTGATATATTTAAAGGAACACTGTTAGGTATTTCAGCAAAGATTTATGCTTGGTTGACTTTAATAGCCAAGATTCACTGATTCCAGTAAAACTAGCATTTCTACGAAGGAGTTCTAACAGTCTTTGAAACAAAGTCAGAAACTTTGCGTTACTTATATATTAACACTAGCTATCATCAAAAGTTTGAAACTTTATAACTACGCTGTTTGAGTTATGACTTCCCAAAAAGACTACAAAGGCAAATGTGTAAACTTCTCAGAGCACAATTTGGCTGATTTCTTTCAAGATTAAAAACATTTCAGAAGTGTATTTAAGTTACATGGGGTCAGACAGATTTAAGAATAGAGTCTTCAGTATTCTGAATAAGAGTGAAGACAACTTTGGAAAAGTCTGTCCAATAATGCCAGAATTTATAGCAGTGAGTAGGACCAAAAAGAAAAGCTCAAACATTAGAAAATGTCATCTGAAATACATTCAACAGCGTAGATTATGTCTATACTAGAGAGCTTACAGCGGCACAGCTGTTTCAATGCAGCTGCGCCACTGTAAGATCTCTCATACAGCCACTCTATGCCAAGGGGAGAAAGCTCTCCCATCAACATAATTAAACCACCCCCAACAAGCGGCAGTAGCTATGTCGGCGGAAGAAGCGCACACCACCACTTATGCCAGCATAATTTATGTGTGGGGTTTTTTTCACACCCTAATAAATTGCCGGCATAAGTGGTTGGCTAGACATGGCCATAGTGTCTCTCTTAAACCAAGCAGGACAGTGAAGTTTTATTTTACAGTATTTTTAAAAGGTCTTTATACTTAAAGCTTCGGAGACAAGTCCTACTGTCTTTCAGTAGAAACTCCTATTAAAGTCAATGGGAGATTTGCCTAAGTAAGGAAAGCACAATCTGAACTCATCACAAACTCTTGTATTGGAACTTTTGCATAAATTTAGACAGGTCTATTACTTATTTCATATATTAGGCACGCATTTGTTTCCAGGGACTTTTTAAACAAAACACATTATGGTATCAGATTATGTAAATTTCTTTCTAGAACTATTTAAGTTAAGTAACCAAAAATTTGCTTCCCAGCCTTGTCAAGACAGATTCAGCGAGCTAGAGTAATCAAGTTACAACCGATTATGGGGCTATAAAGAACTGGAAAACTTGAGAGTTGAGCTTTTATGTCAAGACATCAATGAACACAAAACATCACATCAGTGCTCACTGGCACTAACGTAGTAAACCTGAATACCAGGAATCATTATTTCAGTTACCCCTATGTATTCTCTCTGTCCTCGGTAATACTGATTTAAAAAAACATGGTAAGTAAGATCCCTAAAGGCAGATGGGATGAGCATAAGAGTTTATGACTAGAATGATAGGCTGCAGAGCTGGAGCGGTGGTGGGGGGAAAAGGCACCTGGCCACTTTTTGACTTGGCCAAACCTGAGGGCACTTTGACCCCACACTCCAGGTTGCAACGCCACTCAGGACACTTCTCTGTGATGACGGAGGGGCAGCTGAAACAAATCTGAGTGAATGACATCCCCACCTGGCACACAGGGTTGTGGCAGCACTCAGGTTTGCACCAGGGTCACAATGCCACCTACTCAAATTTGGCCCAGTTGCCCCTCCATCATGATGGAAGGGCAACTAGGTCAAACCTGAGTGGTGCTGCAACCTCACATGCCAGACTGCAGCATCACTTGTTCAAATTTGGAGGGGATGGGTGTAGGGGCTCACGGGCCAAAGGACCAGGTTGCTAGTGGGTGGGGTGCCTGAGAGAGGAAGAGAAAGGTCAGACAGAGAAGCAAATTCTATTGGCCCCCACTTCAACCAGCGCTCCACAGCCTTAACTGGAACAAGTCCACACACACTAAAGGTCCCTACTAGGTTTCTCTTGAAATCAGAAGTGAAGTGTTGCACTCCCACACTTCCTGCCATGTGGTAAAGGGGGGGGGGGGGGGGGGAAATACATCTAAGGGCTCCTGAAAAGCCACCCCCAAAAGCTAGAAGGTTCTTTAAAAGTCATTCCCGTGGTGCGCTGAACTGCATTACCCGGAGCTCAAGGGTGTGGATGTGACCTCCCACCAGGGTGCCCGGCATTCACACTACACACGGGCACTGGGGTGCTAGAACCACCCCTAAACCCCCCCCACCACCACCACCACACACACACGCAGAATTCACCCTGCGCCTTGGCACCAGAGGGACCCTTAGCAGGGCCCCTCCCGCCCGCGCTGCGCACTCACAGGGTGCAGGCCCGTCCCTCCTCAGTGCCTCCTCGCGGCATCCCTTCGGGGCCCAGCCCGGGGCAGCGCGCCGGGACCCGGGCCCTGCCTCAGCTCACGGGCTTCCTCCCCGGGTCAGAGCGGGGGGAGACGCGGGTTCTACCCGAGCCCCGGCGCGCTGGGGGCGGGTGTACGGGCCCTCTTCCTCCCAGCCCGACCTGACGCGAGGGGGAGGGGGGCCAGCGAGCCCGGATCCTCGGGGAGGGCGGGCGGCTCCCCCGAGACTGGCTCTGGAGAGGGGCCCGAGCCCCCGGCGGCCGAACGCGGGTCACTCACCAGTGCAGCCGCCGCCGCCACCGCGGCTCCTCCTCGCCTCGCCTCCCCCTCGCGGGGGAGCAGCTCGGACATGGGGGGCCGAGGCCGGGTCTCCGCCGCCGCCGCCTGCCCCGCTCCCCGCCCTGAGCGCCACTGAGAGAAAATGTCACCGGAGGCCGCTCGGCTCCGCTCGCGGCGTCACTTCCGGCGGCCGGGACCGGGCTGCCGCTGACCGCCGAGCGGCGCCCAGAGCGGCCCCGCCGCTGGCCCCTGCAGCGCCACCTGGCGGCCCCTGCAGCGCGTCGACCCCGCCGCCCCCAACCTGCTCCCCGGGGACGGGGCGCCGGACGAGCCCCACCAGGGCCCCATTGGGATGGGGGAGCAGCCAGAACCCTTCCTTCCGGCCCCCACCAGGGCCCCCTGGGGAAAGGATCCAGGGAGACCCCGGTCTCCTGACCCCTTCTCCCTCCTCTGGGGAGTCAGGAGGGGGAATGAGCCAGAGCCTCCTAACTAGGGTCCCGTCCAGAGGGATGGGACCCAGAGCCTCTTCCCAGCCCCACGTCTCTCCCACACTCGGACCCGATGGGAGACACCCAGAGCCTCACCTGTCAGCTCCCGCTCCCTCTGGGGCCACATGGGAATGGCTTGGGAGCAGTGCTTGTGGTATCACCCTCTGGAAAGGCAGGGCAGTCCTGGCAATCCCATGATGGATGGCCGCCTTGTCTGACATAGAGGCGGTTTGGACACAAACAAGTTAACACTGCAGTCCCATCCTCACGGTCCTGTCCAGGGCCGGATTTGGGATGCCAGGCTTGGGAAGCACGAGACAGCAAGTGTGAAAAATCGGGACAGGGGTGGGGGGTAGTAGGCGCCTATAGAAGAAAATGCCCCAAATATCGGGACTGTCCCTATAAAATAGGGGCATCTGGTTACCCTACTCGGGTTGCTGTTTTTGTTGTTAGCAACAAAAGGAAAAATAGAATGTTTCAAGTAAAATGTTTCAGGTGTTCCGTGCGCGGATTCATTTTTCACTCACCTCGTAGAATGTTCTGGGCCTTTGTAGAATCTCGTGCAACCTTCCAGATTTTTTGAGAACTACATTTTCTTTGAACCTCCTCGAATGTTGTCAGCCATGCCCTCACGGGTTTGAAGGGGTAATGGGTTGCTAGTCATCCAGTAAGATGCGGAGTGAAGTGAGAGCCCAGCCGCAATATTGTGTAATGTGAAAGTGTACTTGTGTTTTAAGACTTGAAGAGTGTAAATAGCGACTAGTAAAGGACTATTTAATGAGACACCATAGATATCTATTGAACCCCTATCTATGCAACAATATAAAAGAAATACTGTTACTTCTTTTGCCATACTTAACACATAATGTTTGATGACTTTCTAAGGGTATGTCTACACTTACCCGCTGGTTCGGCGGCAAGCAATCGATCTTCTGGGATCGATTTATCGCGTCTTGTCTGGACGCGATAAATCAAACCCAGAAGTGCTCGCCGTCGACTCCGGTAATCCTGCTCGGCGAGAGGAGTACGCGGAGTCGACGGGGGAGCCTGCCTGCCGCGTGTGGACCGCGGTAAGTTCGAACTAAGGTACGTCGACTTCAGCTACGTTATTCACGTAGCTGAAGTTGCGTACCTTAGTTCAAATTGGGGGGTTAGTGTAGACCAGGCCTAAGACTGCAGAACATAGACTTTTACTCTCCCTAATACTGTCTGTTTTTCCCCATAGAAAATAAAAGATGCCCCCAAAGAAGCTTTCGGGAGCTCAGTATAGGAAGCAAAAAGTTCAATTGCAATCTCGTTTGAAGCAAGAGGCAAGTTTGATGGGAAAATATCTGAAACAGAACAACACAAATCGGGCTTTAGGCAATAGTGGTTGTCCCAGTGCAGAAGAAATTGAGGAGCAAAGTGTAAATGATGGAAGTCCTATTACTAAGGAATTAGCAGATTTACCTGATAAGGAATGGGAATGTGAGGAAAGTGATGAAGAATCGTCCAGTTTTCTTGGCAGTGTAAAGGAGAGTGATGATAAAGAAAAATCTGGTTTACATGAAAAGGAGAGAAACAATAGAAAAGAATCAGCCTCGCATGATGACAGAAACAGCAGTGAGAAAAATTGCACCCCACAAATCAATACATCAGATCCTGCTTTATTGCCAGCAATCCTAAACTCTGCCGATACTGATCATAAAATTTTGAATGGGCCGGGCAAATTCGAGGATATGATGTTTCCAGTAAATGAGAAGAAGTGACACTTCTCAAAGTCACACTGTGAAAGAGTACTCAAGAATGGTAAGAAACTGAATTGGCATTGGCTAGTTTACTCAAAATCAACTGGCAATGTGTTCTGTTTTTATTGCAGAATATTTGACAAGAATGCCAAATCATTGCTTGTGCTTTTGGGGTACAATTACTGGCATAACTTAGCTGATGCTTTGAAGCAGCTGAAAAGGCATCTGGCCATCTTATGGCCTACTCCAAATGTATGGAGGTCCAGTCCAGGCTCAAGCTGAATAAATGCATAGATGCAGAAAACCAGCGCATTATTAATGTAGAAATCCAGCATTGAAGGAACGTGCTCAAGCCTCTGATCTCAATTACCCTCTTCCCTGCAAAGAATAATTTGCCTTTCTGGGGTTCGGATAAGTTGTTCACTGAACATAATGGTAATTTCCTTGGTTTGGTAGCGCTCCTTGGGAAATATGACAATATCATGCGTGAGCACTTACATTGAAGTTCGTAAAGAAGCTATGAACCATTACTACAGCAAAATAATTTGTAAGCAGGGTCTGAATGAGTTCTTCCCTGACAGCTAGTTGGGGAGGGGGAGAGACTTCAGGAGCAAACTGTATTTACATGAACACATTTACCCTACATAGGTATCCAGCAGACTTGCGAGTTAGAGCGCATTAAAGCAGCCCAGTGCGCTCTAACTCACGACGCGTCCACACTGGCCAGGCACGTAGAGCGCTCTGACTCCGCGGCTAGAGCGCTCCTGGTATTCCACCTTGGTGAGTGGAATAACATTTGATGCGCCCCCGCTGGAGCGCCGCGGCGCCAGTGTGGACGCCCTGGTCTGTTAATGCGCTCTGATCGGCCCCCAGAAGTGTCCCACAATGCCTGTTCTAGCCACTCTGGTCATCAGTTTGAACTCTACTGCCCTGCCCTCAAGTGATCAACCGTCAGACCCACCCTTTACATTCTCTGGGAATTTTGAAAATCCCCTTCCTATTTGCTCAGCCAGGCGTGGCGTGCTTTCAGTGAATCTTTCCAGGTGACCATGCCTCCACGCGCCAGGCGATCCCCAGTATGGAGCAATGGCGAGGTGCTGGACCTCATCAGCGTTTGCGGGGAGGAAGCTGTCCAGTCCCAGCTGTGCTCCAGCCATAAGAATTACGATACCTTCGGGCAGATATCAAGGGACATGATGGAAAGGGGCCATGACCGGGACGCACTGCAGTGTAGGGTTAAAGTGAAGGAGCTGCGGAATGCCTACCGCAAAGCCCGCGAGGCAAACCGCCGCTCCGGTGCTGCCCCCACGACCTGCCGTTTCTGCAAAGAGCTGGATGTGATACTTGGGGGTGACCCCACCTCCACTCCAAGTACCACCCTGGACACTTCAGAGTCCAGTCCAACAAAACAGGAGGAGGAGCAAGGCGGGAGCGAGGGTGCTGAGGCAGAGGAAGACACCTCGGAATCCCTGGAGCCATGCAGCCAGGAGCTGTTCTCAAGCCAGGAGGAAGGTAGCCAGTCGCGGCAGCCAGTGCTTGGGGAAGGACAAACACCAGAGGAGGTTCCCGGTAAGCGGCTTTTATTTTGGGAAGGAAGTTATTCGGTGCGGGCTCTTGGGGCGAGGAGGGTTAGGGCTGCATGCATGCCTAGATGCAGAGGCGTTGATGTGCTCTCTCACATCGGCCTCAGTGATCTCTTCAAAGGTCTCAGCCAGAACTTGGGCAATGCGCTTGCGCAGGTTTATTGGGAGAGTCACTGTGGTCTTTTTCCCAGTCAGGCTAACGTGTCCGCGCCACTGTGCCGTGAGGGCTGGGGGGACCATTGCTGCACACAGGCAAGCTGCATATGGGCCAGGGCGGAAGCCGCATTGCAGTAGAAGACCCTCCCTTGCTTCCCAGGTCACCCTCAGCAGCGAGATATCTTCCAGGACGAACTCCTGTGGAAAATGAGGGGACAATGTTCAGTATAGGGGCCCCTTGCAGCTGTTGGCTCTCCCCAAGGCACAGAAACCCAGAGGACAGTACAGCCATGAAACAAATCAGTCCCCCTTGACCCTGTGCTTACTCACCATTTTGGGGCTCCCGTGGGTTATGTGCCCTTGCTTTGGGTCAGGCAAATTATGCTATTGTATAGACTTTGCTTGCCCTCCTTAAGTACGGGGGAATCATTGCTCTGTCTGGTGTGAACAATGCTGCCTCTGTTAAGTGTTGCATTTTGCCTTTACAGATGCAACCTTGAGATCTCAGCCGAAAGACTGCAAAGAATCAGGAAGAGGCCCCGTAGAAACAAAGACATGCTGCATGAAGTAATGCAGCAGTCACTTAATGAGAATCTAAAAGCGCAGGAGTGGAGGAAGAGTGAAAGGAGGATCCGCCAGCAGAATGCGGAGCTCTGGCAGCAAAGCACGGATCAGCTGATAAGCATCATGGAGCGCCAAGTGGACTCAATCCAGGCGCTCATAGCCATGCAAGCGGAGCACTACCGTGCCTGCCCTCCCCAGCCCTTGTCCCAAAACTCTTTTCTTTGTGCCCCCATGTCACCTCCAACCCACTTTCCCCAACATCCGGGTTCTTATCACCACCAGCTACCTCCAACACCTGTAACTTCACCACCCAGCCCTGAAAACTACGACCCTTACCCATTGCACTCATCCCCCATCACCATGCAGTATAGCCATCCTGAAGTGCAGCACTCATTGCACAGAACTCCAGACAGGAAGGCTGAGTATGAGAACAGGAGGACATATGCAAATCTGTGATTGTATCGTTCCCCACCCCACCCCCTCACCCTTTCTGTTTCCCAAGCAGTTGTGTTTCTTTTCAATAAATGGATTTTTTGGCTCTGAAAACATTCTTTATTATTGCATAAAGTAAAAGATACCTTAGCCCAGGAAAGCAGCAGGCACTGCAAGTCAGTGTCGCAAACACAGATTCCTACTAACATTGGAACCACTGCACTTCACTCCCATGCAGGGCACCAGACATTACTGGTGGCTTTCAGCTTCAAATTGCTCCCTCAAGGCATCCCTAATCCTTGCAGCCCCACACTGGGCCCCTCTAATAGCCCTGCTCTCTGGCTGTTCAAATTCAGCCTCCAGGTGTTGAATCTCCGAGGTCCATGCCTGAGTGAAGCTTTCACCCTTCCCTTCACAAATGTTATGGAGGGTACAGCACACGGCTATAACCGTAGGGATGCTGTCATCGGACAGGTCCAGCTTCCCATACAGAGAGCACCAGCGACCCTTTAAATGGTCAAAAGCACACTCCACAGTCATTCTGCACTGGCTCAGCCTGTTGTTGAACCGCTCCTTGCTGCTGTCAAGGCTCCCTGTGTAGGGTTTCATGAGCCACAGCATTAAAGGGTAAGCAGGGTCTCCAAGGATCACAATGGGCATTTCAACTTCCCCTACGGTGATCTTCTGGTCTGGGGGAAAAGTCCCGGCTTGCAGCTTCCTGAACAGGCCAGTGTTCCGAAAGATGCATGCGTCATGCACCTTTCCGGGCCAGCCTGCATTAATGTCAATGAATCCACAATCCACAAGCACCTGGAGAACCATAGAGAAATACCCCTTCCGATTAATGTAATCGGAGGCTAGGTGGGCTGGTGCCAGAATTGGAATATGCGTCCCATCTATCGCCCCTCCGCAGCTAAGGAAACCCATTTGTGCAAAGCCAGCCACAGTGTCATGCACGTTACCCAGAGTCACGGTTCTTCTGAGCAGGATGCGATTAATGGCCCTGCAAACTTGCATCAACATGATTCCCACAGCTGACTTTCCCACTCCAAACTGGTTAGCGACCGATCGGTAGCTGTCTGGAGTTGCCAGCTTCTAGATTGCAATAGCCACCCGCTTCTCCACCGTCAGGACAGCTCTCAATCTCATGTCCTTGTGCCATAGGGTGGGGGCGAGTTCATGAAAGTGGCTTTTCTCATCCGAAAGTTCTGCAGCCACTGCTCATCATCCCAGACTTGCATGACTATGTGATCCCACCACTCAGTGCTTGTTGCCCGAGCCCAAAAGCAGCGTTCCACGGTGGTGCGCATGTCCGTGAACGCCACAAGCAATCTCGTGTCATATGCGTTACTCGAGTTGATATCATCGTCGGAGTCCTTACTGTCAGTTTGGATCTTAAGGAGTAACTCGACTGCCAAACGTGATGTGCAGGCGAGACTCGTCAGCATATTCCTCAGCAGTTTGGGCTCCATTCCTGCAGACCGAAACGGAAGACAGAGCGTGCAGCATAAAAAACGTTGAAAGATGGCGCCAAATGTGGACAGAAGCAGAGGGATTGCTGGGATGCGAACCGATGCATCACGGGGCGTTGGGACAGGACCCAGAATGCCCCGCACCACCCCCCTTCCCACAAGCCACAGCGCCAGAATGGGAAGAGGTGCTCTGTGGGATAGCTGCCCATAATGCACCGCTCCCAATGCCGCTGCAAATGTGGCCACGCCAGTGCGCTTGCAGCTGTAAGTGTGGACAGACTGCAGCGCTTTCCCTACTGCGCTCTCCGAAGGCTGGTTTAACTCAAAGCGCTCTACGTCTGCAAGTGTAGCCATGCCCTAAGAAAGGAAGAAAGAAAAAACAGCAAAGGCCTACATGTTACTGTTTTATACAATCCCAGTATTTAGCTAATTAACTGATCGGACTAGTTAATTAGCATGAGAGTATATGAGGAATGTCTATCAGCTTAGACTACTAGGAGATGTGGTGTTTTAAGATGTTTACCACAAATTTCAAAGGCCTACCTGTTGCTGTTTTATACAATCCCAGTATTTAGCTAATTAACTGATTGTATTTTGTCCCAATTACCATTGACCTCAATGTCCTTACTTTCTCCTTCAAAATTTTTTCCAAAACCTTGCATACTACAGATGTCAAACTGGGCCTGTAGTTACCCGGATCACTTTTTTTTCCTTTCTTAAAAATAGGAATTATGTTAGCAATTAATAGGTAAAGTAACTTTAACATTGTATAGTAAAATAATGTACACATATGAATGTGTATTTGAAAATGACCAACATATCATGTACTTGTATTATTTTTCTTTTCCAGAGATGTTTTTGATATCTTGATTTTGTCAATGGAAGAATAGTGTTTGTTTTGGGTCAGAGTATTGCATTACGATCAAATATCTTTTGTACGTGATAAGCGGAACTGGGTTGATTTTCAGTGACTGAACAATTCCGTAATTCATACTGACTTTGGCTCAGATCCTCAAAAGTGTCCATTGGTGCTTAAATACTTTGAGGATCTGGGCCTTTTGGCCCCAATCCTGCAAAAGCCTTCATGCCTGCTTAATTTTATGGTCAGTGAGTAAATCCTGTTGAAATCAATGAAACTACCTAAAGCTAAGTAAGCACACAAGTTTTGGCAGGAGGAGGGGCCTTCTGTTGAAATGCTGCATACTCAGCACCTCTGAAAATCAGGTGCAATGTCTTTCAGAAAAATGAACAGATAATTTAAATTGAACTGGACTATCTAGGGTCTGGAGTATTTTCAGTTGTGTGACTGTTTCATAATGTACAATACCAATGATGAGGGATCTCTTACTGTTTTGTAAAGCAACATGTACATTTACAACACTACGTAACTGAAGAACTGAGAACTCGTTAAAAATAAGTGTCAAGGTCAAACATTTATTTGATTTTCACCATACTTACTGAAAGCTGAACTGTGCTGTGGCAACTGATTTATGCGACTGCAGCAGATGGCAGAGTTCTGGCACAGAGCTAGCACACAGCTGTTTGATTCCCCCCACCGCCGAGACATTTCCTAGCAGTACCAAGTAGGACAGCAATCCAGCTATCTTTGGACAGTAGCACTGAAGTCAAACTCCAGCCCCTGCTGCTGCCTGTATCGTCAGGCTGTCAGCCAATACCAATGTACCTAGCGTTGATGCTTGGGTAGGTTCTGCTGCTGCAAAGCCAGATGTGGAAAAATGCAAGTTTGCAGTGTACTGTACTAAAATCAAGGGTTTAACTTAGCGCTGAACTGAATAAAGCCTCACTCAAGTATTATTCCCAGCTAGTCCACTGCCACACTGTATCCAGCAGATTGATGTTCCTGAAGCCTCTATTAGCTGAACCTAGACAGAAGTGAGACCATCTACAAGGGTAAATAGCCCTAATCCTGGCTTATTTAACATTACCATTTAGCAGCCAAACCACAACAGTCCTCTCCTCTGGGAAGGGGAGATGATCCAGGAGGTTCAGCTCGCAGAGCTTTCTTCAAATCATCCCCACGGGGAAAGGTTTGGGGAGAACCACAAAGGAGGTTGAGAGTATAGCACACCAGCCCTGTAGATCTGCAGCTCCTGATCTCACACATAATCAGGATCACCGTAGCCCTAGATCCCATGCTGGCATTGCATCAAGAGGCAGGTAGGCACAAGTGGGAACAAGGTCATGGAGAAAGTAGATCCTCCTATAGATCCAGCAAAGCCCAATCCCTACTGTGAATTGAACGGGGGAGTGCAGCTGAAGGAGGGGATAGTAATTGGCGTGCAGTGGTGACTAATGTAGGCAATGAACTCTTCTCCCCTCATTTGCCTGCTCATTCAGCCATTGCTTGTATTTCCACATTCTCCAGCTCAATACACCCAAAGCTTAGGAGCTCCCAGAACTAGAAAAGTCAATTAAGCACCTCTATCTTTTTTCTATCACTTTTCCCCTCATAGCTGAACTACAGCAGGTTCTCTGGAGTTTCTTCCATTGATTTAGTATTAATCATTATGTACTAAAATGAACAAGGAAGGCAGCAAAGCCTTAACCCAGTGCAAACCTCACAGTTGAGGATATAATCTAATTTGATTAGACTGCAGGGCAAGTGGAGACCCTCATGGGGTCAGTATTAGGAGATTTCAGCTCTAGGTCACTGATTCAAATCCAACCCAGGTGAGCAGTGAAAGCTGTTGCCAGCCAAAGGCTGTTCAGTGATCTCTATGAAATGAGGAACTGAGCTCAGGGTGATGGCAGGCAGCCATCTATCCCACCAAAAAAGGCATCCTCCTTGTTGGCTGGCTCCAGGGCTTGAACAGGCTATAGTGGTGCTACTACTCTATAGTGGCCTTACTACTCTCAGTGCCCTACTACTACTCTCAGTGCCTTTCAAGTCAGTCACTTCAATTTATGTCTGCAGCAGGCACCTGTTATGTTAAAGTGGGGAAAGTAATTAAGCTTTGTCTTAACAGCTAGAACTCTACATTCATTTTAAAAAAGGATTTGAAGAGAAGAGAAAAGTGATTGATGTTGGGTGAGGAGACTCATCTCACAAGATGTAATAACAAATGCTGTCTAGTTTCCCTTGACTCACCAAATAGAGGACTCTTCTAAGGCTAGAGATCCAGAACCTGGTAGGGGAGAAGAAGAGACCGAGACTAACCAGATAGTTTTCTGTCAAGCCCCAACTCCTTCCTCCCTCCCTTTTTCCCCAGTTGATCTAATTTAGTAAAACAGAAGATACCTAGTACAGAATGTAACCAAACATGAAACTGCTTGTTTGCTGATTAGGTCGCCATCTGGAGGTCATTTACCAGTTTTAGCTCATATTTATAAAAATGGACAGAGAAAGAAGTCTTGTTTTTATTATTCAGCCTTACAGAAAACAGAAATATACATATTTTTTACAAAACCAAAGCTATGAGAAACCACCAAAATCTGTGTGCTTGGCAGAAAGATGGCAAGTGTGCAGGCCCCAACAGTGAGGAATACACCACCATGTTTAGGAGCCCCAAAAGTCTACCTTTAAAAAAAAAAAAAAAAAAAAAAAAAGTCCTTTTCCCACACAGTTGACTTTAGGTAAATCGGCGTTTGCTGGGCTCTGGTACTGACAGTGCCATCATGTCCACTTTACTGGAGAACTCAGCCTCTAGAGCATTCTAGAGGGAGAAAGAAACAAGAGAAATCAGTGGCAATGCAAATAACTTTTACATCATTGTTAGACAAATATGTCTCTAACGGTCAACCCCATTGGACATCATTTGTATCCATTAACCCAAATAACTGAAAGAGCATGATTGGTGTGGGATGTTTACCAGTACTCGGTACAACGCACGGTTAGTTGAGAATATAATAGGTGACTCAGCATTTAGCAGCTCATGAACAGAGAAAAAATGAGTCATCATAAAAAGCCAAAAATTAGCATTACTAATCCGAATGATGACCCAAAAAGATATACAGTATTCTTTAATATTATGACAATGTTACATTTTTCCCAGGACAATCTCCAAATATCAAACCCTAATAAAGCATCCATTGTTATTCTTATAGTCCACAAACAAACAAGTTTGGCTTGTAACATCTAGAGAGCTTATTTCCAAACTGACACCACTGGTCCATGTTGTGTGATCCTCATGGTCCTTGGAATGCAACATTTTTAGAACCAAGTGAATGAACAGGGGGGTGAATAGAGAGTCCATGACACAATCTCTTACAATGTGATGCACAGAACAGGAATATTGGAGAACCTTGCACTCTTGTTTTACTGAGATTAACATACAAATTCCACACACATGCACAAAAACAGCAAAATGCTAGTCACATGTGGTGGGCTTCCCATCATGCTCGGAAGGGTTACTAGACACAGATAGGCTGCCAAAGCATATTACTAAAACTCTCACCTGAGAAAGCCCTACCAGTGGTGAAGAGGGATCAAATTCATTAAATAAGTGCCTCACCATTGATCCTACTGGTACTGTCCAAAGAGACAGATGGTCTCATAATTGTGATCCTGACTGTTTAGGGCCTTAATGATTATCAACACTTTCAATTGCATCTAGAAGCAAATAGGAAGCTAGTGCAAAAACTTAAGCACAGGTTTTATGTACACACTGGTCCATGACACTCAGGAGAAGGGCAGCTGCAGTCCCATGTGGACTTCAAAAGCAACCCTATATACAGCACTTAGCAGCAATCAAGCCTGCAGGAGACAAATGCATGGATGACCTCTGTGCAGTCTATTTTATAGAGAAATGGCCGTACTCCTGTCCAACTGCTGATTAAAAAATGCATTACGGGCCACAACAACCCACTGAGAATCCAGCATCAGTGATGTATCCAAAAGGGCCTAGAGACGGCAAACCATTTTAGCAAAAAGCATCCTCGAAAGGTGGTGCAAACACTACCGCACAGTTCTTCAAAGCTATTTAGGTGACTAACTTCCACTGACTGCAGTGAGACTAAGGCATCTAAATAACTCTGAAAAGCTGGGCCGTCCTTCAACATCCGTTCCTCCCTATCAACAAGAATCACTTCCATCTAATCTGAGCCACATTTTTACCCAGATCTTTATCTCTGAAGAACGTCAAGATTAGAATCTGAGACAGATAAACCTGAACCTAACCATCATCAACGTTGGAGTTTTGGATGATATTTTTTTTTGGGGGGGGGGGGGGGGGGGGGGGGGGGAGGAGAGAAGTGCCAGCGTCCATTTAAATCTCTGTAAGCAACAAAAGCCCCTACCAGCTCCCGCTTTGCTTCTTCAATCTTCACTCGAGCAAGGGAAGGATTCTAAAAGAAAGAAAAATGGCATGTTAACCGCAAGTAGCGACAGTCCTGTTTCAGCTTGAAACACAGGGTTTCTCCTCACCCAAAAGATTTTAATAAAGGGTGGGGGATAATCAAATGGTCTCCATGTGTTCCAAGATGCAAAACGTGCTGCAATTAAAGACACAGAACAACCCAAAATTTAATGGATTTTGAAAGAGCTTTTACGAAGCCTAATGTTAAAAGAAACATTTCCATGAAAAATTCACAAAGCTCTTGATCAAGAGAGCCTGGTTTTAAACGTTCCCAGCAGTGTTTGCAGCCCAGACACTGACTAGGAAGGTGCTCACATGTGCACATAGCCTGCTTGTAGGAACACTCCTCTCCCACTCAGCATCTCAGGCACTCAGCCAGTGGTGAGAGAAGCACAAAGGCTAAGGGGCCGGGCTGAGCCTTCCACATTCACTGAAAGCAAGCTAGGGAAAATGGGAAGAATAAAAGCCAATTTTGGTGTCTCGAGTCCCTTGACAGAACCAAGCAAACTGCCTCTGGGGACAAGGATAGAGGGGGGTACGCAGAGGTCTTCCAGAGGTATCAACTCATCTAGATAGTTGCCTAGTTTTACAAAAGGCTACATGAAAAGCTCTAGTGAAGTCAGAACAAACTAAAATTTCATATTGACAATGACTTGTTTATACTGCTCTATATGCTATATCAGTGTTTCACAACCTGGGGGGTGAGGGGGGTGCGATTTCGTTTATAATTACATGGTAAAAATGAGAAAGAAAGCAATTTTTCAGTAATAGTGTGCTAGGACACTTTTGCATTGTTATGTCTGATTTTTTAAGCAAGTAGTTTTTAAATGAGGTGAAACTTGGGGTATGCAAGACAAATCAGCCTCCTGAAAGGTGTCCAGTAGTCTGGAAAGGTTGAGAACCACTGATCTAAGGTGAGGGAGTCAGGCCTGCAGCAAGGATGTGTGTAGTGGGGGAACTCACTGCAAGGAACGGGTTGGTGAAGACAAGAAGGATGGTCCAGTGGTTAAGGCATTAGCTGAGGACCTAGGAGACCTGGATTCAGTTCCCTGTTCCAGCACAGCTCCCCATGTGAACTTGGGCAAGTCACTTAATGGCTCTGTGCCTCATTTCCCCATCTGGGATAGGAGATAATAGCACTTCCCTACCTCACAAGGTGCTGTGAGGATAAATACATTACAGATTGTGAGGCGCCCAGAGACTAGATAAATACGAGAGGTAGAACTGTGAATCTCGACACATAGGTTCATTTAATAAATCACAATGCTACCTCCCAATTGTGGCAGCATCTTCCCTATGTCCAAGAAGGAGAATCCCTCACTACTGATTTGAGAAAGGAACATGAATTTTGTGTTTCATCCACTTTCAGAGGAGCTCTCCAAGTGCTGCAGTTAGATTGTCCCTCAAACAACATATACAGGTGACCTGTCCACTTCATGCAAAGACAGGGTTTGGATACCTCTCACTTTGTGGATTAATAAACTACTGTTGGCTCTAATCTCTTTGAATTACTGTACAGTTGTTTACAGAGGTTCCCTTACCTGAACTCCAACTACTGCACAATGCTGTAACCATTTATACTGCTACATAAATGATTAACAGTAATGGTGGTATGTACCAGCAGATTCAAAGTTTTAAAATTATTGATAATCTTTGGAAAATAATTGTACCATAGATTTTTGTTTTCCTCTCAACTTTTCCAGATAATTCACCTGATGCCTAGCTTATCCAACCAGTTTATTTGGGTTCGATTCCCATGCATTGTGGTAGAAGAGAGCAAACTCTATCTGGTGGAACTATTTAAACAGCCTTCTATTTAAGCAAAATCCTTCGTCTAGACAATTCATTAAGGGACGGACACAGAGTTTGGAAACAGCACAACTGTCAGCCTGTCAACGCCATTGCAACGGAATTTATTTACATTTTGATGTCTATATACATATCTCTATCTCTAAAATATTTCAGCTACAAAACACCCCCTGAAGTTAATTTGACAGTGAAATTAATGCCTAAGTTATAGCACCTAAAGAGAAGCTATTCCATTTTTTTTATATATACACATACACATTTTGAATACCAGAAGAGAATAGTAGTAGTAGAAATAATTACAGGAGTTAAGTCCAAGTAGGACTCCAGTTTCTTCTTCAAAGGCACAGTCTGTTGCTTTAGTTCAGACAGTTTCTGTGAACACAGCAAAGCACCAGGTTATATTTCTGCAATCTAATTTGGTATAAGTGATGCAAATCAGTAAAACAAAGCATTTACGAATTTCCAAATGTTTTATTCTGTATAGATTTTAAGGGAGCCCATTGTTGCCGTAATTCTGATTAAGGATCTATAACTCTTCCCAGGATTTAATATTCCAACAATTTTATTTAGTCAAATCCAATTGAAGTTTTATATTGAAGTAAAAACACAAATTTTTGTATTACCCTTATGAAAAAATACAATGTCTTTTCACACAATGTACCATTTGGTGGCTGTTCGCTGGTCTGTGTGAAAGGAGGTGGTGATCTCAATCTATAATCCAGTGGACAGGTGTCCATGTCACAGAAAAACACCTTCACAATGGGCACTACCTGAGACCCTTGCTGGTGATCTCAGCACACGCCAAGACTGAATAGATCACGAAGAATGAGTTACACACTAACACCTAAAGGCTGCCCTGCCAGAACAGGGCTGAGCCACATAGGTGGGACAGTGTGGGGAACCTTCCACCAGCACTTTTGATGCTGTACCCATTCAGTGCACAAAGAGAAGAGTTAACTTTTTGAGGGTTACTAATCAAGCAACTTTCGCCAGCACTAAAGCCATTTAAAAGTCAAAGATAAACCTATGATGCAGTAATTTACACCCCCCTCCACGCCAAACATTTGTTCAGCACTCTGCAAAACAAATAAAAGAACACTGTCAAGTCAAACTTGCCTCCATATTTAGGCTCTATGAGAAAACAAAAGTTTTACAAAACCAAGACCTATGTAGAAGTTTCTATGATTTTTTTAAATTTAAGATTTTAATGGGAACATTTTTCAACCAGCATTTCCCCTGAAACATTTTGCAATCCAAATACTGCCAAACAATGCTAGTTCATGACATCCACAAAGTGAAACTGACAAGGCTATATTCATCATTCAAACTAACAAGCAAGAAATAAAACAACATAAATGGCAAAAAGCACATTACACGTTTGGAATTCTCTCTGTTATAGTAACAGGGTGATATTAGTGTTGTGACAGCAGAAAGAACAGACTCAGACAGACATCATGTGCAGCAGCAAAGAGCTGGTGAATCCACAATTAGAAACACAGGAAACATGTTTTTTAAAAATGAAAGTATTGTGACAGTGTCTCTTTAACAAATTACATCATTATTATCTTACAGTATTCACAATTATATCCAAAAATGTTATGTTCACATAAAACTGGAGGAGGCCTCAGGATGTAAAATTTGGATCACAGATTAGATTTTGGACACCACCACAGATCAGAGGCATTTGGATGTGGGATGTTGGTTTGGGCCTATCTCTAACATACACGTGTACTCGAGTATCCATATGGATAAATGTTATTTCATTAAACTAGCCAAACAAATGCTGATTCACATGCACCACTTCAGAAATGTCCCTCTTGTCACAACACACCCACCTCTGAGAGGCTCACTAATGACTGATGTGTCAAGGAAGGATCCATCCCGCTTGCAGAAAGCTGTTCCTACAAGAGAAAAACAGTTCACAGTTTGTACAGCACACCCTGCTCCTCTACTGAACAGACAGCGTACAATACATTATTCATAGAAAAACTTTAAACAGAAAATGCAGAGAGATATTTTGATGCTTCCTTGTATTTTAACATAAGCAGGCAAAAAGAAAAAAATTAACTATAGCAGGAATTTAGTGCTGTTTTAAGTGCTATCTTCAAGCAACTTTAACTGTGGAGTCAGTGGCTAATGAAACATGCATAAACAGCAATATATCTACTAGAAAACCAGCATGACTAGAGCATTCAATGAGGACATGAGTAGGTTTACCTAGTAAAATGTCATCATACTAATAAAACATTTATCCCTCAGAATTGCCAGACTATTGTACATAGTCATTCTGTCAAAGTGGCCTGTAACACTCACCCATACTTGCTTCATAGGGGGTTGGGAAACTTAATTTCTCATATAGTACTTAACTAGCCAAACACTGGGTTTCAGAATCAGTCAAGTAACCAATATGCAATGCATGTTACACTGTACCACTACCGAAATCATGACATTGGAAGAGAACATGCTCTCTGATAACATCTGTATAGAGTAATTCCAACTATAATCCATGCTTATACATTTTTAAATTTATGAAGGTTCCCCAAATTTATGAAGGTTCCTACTTTGAGCAGAGCGTTGGACTAGATGACCTCCTGAGGTCTCTTCCAACCCTAATCTTCTATATCAAGGAACACTGGAAAAAATTGCTCTTATTTAACTGAAAAATAGCTATGGGGGACCTACATTTACTTACCTGTAATTGTTGCTTTAAGGTCTCAGTCCTCCAACACTTAAAGCCTATGTGTAACTTTAACGGGACAATTCATGTGAGTGAAAAGCTACACACTTGCTTAGATATTTGCATTTGTCCTCCCAGTATACAACTAAGGCTACATTTTTGGCACAGCAGTCGCGGTGTTCATGGTAATCATTAATTTTAATAAAGTCAATTTAATAAAGCCACAATTGTGGGGTGAGCTCATTCTTCAATCCCTCACCCGCAGACCATAACCTTTCTGTGAGTATGGTTCCCCCCACACATACCTATGTTGTGAAATTGACTAAAAATTTGTGTAACAAAATCATAGCCTTATACACAACTAGCTTTAAAACTCTAAACCCTAACTTTAAAATATTGGGGCAACTACTTGCCACCCCACTCCAGCAGGGGACACATTCAACCCCTAAGGCCTCTCTTACCTCTTAAGCAAAAGGATCCAAGGATCACAGCATCCATCCACTTATCCCCAGCTCTGCAGGAAAGGTGACGGGGGATCAGTTACAACTGATTCCCTTCAAGGACCAACCATTCTTTATTTCCAAGTGTTAGTTGTAATAGATTTCCCCTCTTGGAGGCCAAGAAGCTCCAAAGAGGTCTCTAATAGTGACACCATACATTTTGGGGCCCAATTTGACATGATCACATATTCCTTCAACAATACTGGTAGAACATGTTTATCACCAACCTCTGCAGCCTTTATCCTGAATTTGAAGTCCTCAGATTTATCCTTCAGGAACTTCATGTTCTGGGTTCGGCTGTCAGCTTTGGCTTTTTCCATTGCCAGATGTTCTTCTGTTTTTTTAAGGTCCCTTTAAGAAGAAAATTGTGGTGAATATATGTGGCTTACTAACCTTCAGCCAAATTAACAATCTCAAGTAAACACCCACAGGAGGGACAAAGTGAAACAGAAAACTGAGTTTCACTCACAGTCTCTCCACCAGCTCAGTCTATTGGTGGGATGAGATTTCCATGTGCACAGATACCCCACAGATTCCCAAGACCCTAGGATATCCCTACTGATAGCAGGGCATCTGCATGAAAAGCCAGGACATCTGTACAACAACTCATACTAATAATCTGGTGGGTCACTATACTAGATTAGTTAGTGGAGAACCTAGGAATACAACTGTTAAGTGACTTAACTAAAAGCATGCAGTGCAGTAATGGCAGAGCTGGGACAAGTACACGGGAATGCTAGTTCTACAACATTAACTATGCTGCTGCTGCTATCAACGTCACAATAGTTAAGAGTTTACTGTAGTGCCCCTCATTGTAGTATCCAAGCACTTCAATGTAAATTAAATCTGCATGGTGAGGTCGCTGGTGGACTTAGTGGAATTTTATAATCTTTTGGTTAAAGAAGATTCTTTTGGGGAATCTTTTTTGTTCTAACCCAGTCCCTTATTTTTACCACTAAACCACACTACTCATGCTCAGAAAAATATGCACAAAGCAGTAAGTGGGAGATGCAGGCACGTACTTGTGAGCACTATTCAACCCATAATATTTAATTTCATCATTGTAGGCTTGGGATTTTTAAACCTCTTAACTATTTGAAGCAAATTTTCTGCAAGGGCCTTGACTAGTGGTTTAAATTGCTGTGAAGTAGAGCAATATTGAACTCAATATTCAGATATCCTTGTTACTGTTCATAGACAATAAAGTTGCTGAGAACAGGGGACCAGCAAACCCCATTCAGCTCTTTCCCTTTCTCCCCAACTACTCACTCTTGGAGATGTTTTTCCAGCACCAGAGCTGCAGTTAGCTTTTTCCTAAGGCTGGTCAATTCAAGCTCCATTTCTCTGTTTCTCGATTCTGTCGCATGTAAATCTGAGGTCAAATCATTGATAGCGGGGATGAAGCTAATGAAACAAGAGATTTCACTGATCGTTTAGAAGTCCACTCCACTGAAGTTCAGGGTTATATAATCACTTATTTTCTTTCACACTTTGCATAAAGTTTTTGTAGGATTGTTCTCAAATAATGGCAAATCTGTTAACAGTTAGGTCTGTCTAAACTATCTTACAATCCGAATAGCTAAGAACTTCTATAAGCCAGGGTTTGACAATGTACATAAAATTCAAAATAGTTTAACATTTTAATTGCTATGCAATACACATTTATACAGCTCCTTTTATCATGAAGCATTTCACAAGCTATAAACATGCACTAACTGAACTGCAACTGCTTCTGGGACAGATGATGGCATGCAGCCTGAGCAAACCACACTGCACAACAGCT